ACGCTATCAAAAGGGCGTTTCTAGCCTTCGATGAAGATCTCTTTGGCAAAGTATACGGTAAATTTGTTCAACAACGCCTAAATAATGTCATACAGGCGTGGCGGCCATGGCTAGCAAAGGACAAAACATGTCTGGAGAAAGTGCAGCGTTGGGCAACAAATCTAGTAAGAGGTCTAAAGGACCACTCTTACATAGACAGACTGGCATGCCTTAATGTATTCCCTTTGCATTACAGGCAACAGAGGATGGATCTTATCTTAGTTTACAAGATAATAAACGGTCTTGAGAAAGGATCAAGCTTTGAGGACATATTTCAGTGGCACCTCTCGCCCCCTCTCCGTGGGCACACAATGAAGCTACGCACGAAGATGTCCAAGCTAAACCTCCGCTCTAAATTCTTCATGCAACGTGCCATCCAACAGTGGAACAACCTTCCGCAGTAAGTCGTGGAGACCACTTCCCTTCAGATGTACATACGACGATTGGGTAATAAAATGCGTCCCCTTTCTTCCCTACAAGTGTGAACTCTAACAATCATACCTTTATTGTAAAAAAAACAATGCTACTCACTGTTTATCAATACTATGTTAGAAGTGGTACTTGTTATAGGTGCATGTACACGTGAAACGCACCGGCATGTAATAAAAGGCATTGCCTATTATCCTCATCAAAGAACCTGAAATCCTCCTGACATATATTCACTTGCCGATGGGCCGGGCGGGGGTTATCGGTGCCAATAAATAGTACTTCATTGTCCCCGTCCGCGGCATGCGTACGCACCCCAACTTACCCTTTTAACTTTTTTTATTTTACGAGAGATGTGGGCAGTGATTTGCCCCCTGACATGCTGCAGCCACTCTCACCCCTTAAAGCAGGTGCCCGTGAGACCGAGGGGCACATTTAGGGCGCCTTCCCCCCTAGTCGTCAGCCCGAGGTACTCCTAGCCACATTTTCTTGAAGGAATGGGGTATTCAGCATTTTTAAATCACATGTCATACCTCCAATGCACTTCACTAATCCATCTTTTCCGTTGTTATGTTATTATTGATTGGTGGCACATGGTCATGCTCGTTCAGGTGCGATATACACATTGAGCATTTTGTAATACAGTAGTCGCCGGTTATTAAGCCCACCTCGGGTCCAGACCAAATTGGGCTTAATAAGCGGCGGGCGCACTAACCGGAGACTCCTTGTTCTTGAATAGTAAACGGATAGGCACTATACATTAGGTTCGTATTTTATTATTTGAAGAGCATCGTTATGTTCAAGAAAATAATGCAGTTTGTGTGTATTTTTTATGATAACAGAAACAAAATAAATTGTGACACGTTTAAAAAAGCATTCAAGCGTCAGTTGTTTTGCAGGAAACTTCACTCGCAAGTGCTTTTTGATGTCCTGTTCCAGGCACCAGAAAATCTTACTCTATGCTACTGGCGAATTGGGCTTTGTAGCCGGCGACTGGTCTTATTAGCCAGCGGATTTCGCTATGTAAAATTTTGTCCCAATCTGATTTGGG